CCAGGATTGAAATTTTGTATTTGCGCCAGACGCGCGTTTCATCTACAAAATGCTTGAAATTATTGTATAGAATGAAATTTTCCAAAAAAACCTAAGCCAATTGAACAACAAAGTAGTTTTATCTACGATAATTACTGAATTTTAACGCTTGCATATTTTTAAAAGAGCCTAAATAATTAAAAATAAATACTTCTGAATTATTAAAAATTCTAAGCACTGAGCTCGACAATCATTTGTTATTTCATTTAATGTTTGGATGGCAGGATCTGTTACACATCCGTCCTGATTTTTTTTTTTTGGCAAATAAATCTTTTGCCGTTAAATGGGGTCTTAGCACTACAAACACATTTGGAACCATGATACATTCAACTCTGTCAATATTTTTTCTGATATCACTCTGAACGTTTGAAAACATGGGGTTTTGCAAACAGCACACACATGAATACCTTCCTTTCATGTGTTCCCAAAAGATTCAAAGTATCATGATTAGGCTGACTTACATGTTTTTGCTTTTTAAAACATTTAAGGGAGGGTCTTTTGATTTTCTGGAGGGGGTGCAGGAGGATTTTAAAAATAAATAACCTGGCATGGTAGGAGTTGATAGTAAATATCCTCCAACACAAAATGCAGGAATAAGTTGAAAATAAATTTTCGCGCGACAAAACCACGAAAAAATAAGCCTGCATAGCAACAGATGAAAATGAATAGTCAATCTGCATAAAATCCTTAATTTGTTTGTAAGATGTTACTAAAAGACTTAGGTATAAGTTTTGTTGCAATTTATTACTTGCATAGATGTTCTGTTATAAATACACGTTCTATAACCTTTAATCACATCATAGAAATATTATATTGTATAATATTCATTTTATTTCCATGGTGACATATTTAGTTGTTGATACTGGTGTTTTGATCATCTGATATCGATATTACGACATAATAACTTGACAGTATACTGTTCCCAGATGTTACATAATATGTATTGCATGGCTGTTATCATGTACACCATATAACACAATTATCCCGTGTGATAAACACAATCCTGTTTTGTATACTAGTACCTTTAAATTCAAAAGCCAACAATAATCATATAGGCTGGGAAATAATATATTGTTAGTACAACAGTCCTAGATATATGGTAATACGTTGATGTTCGTGGCATTTGCATTACACATAAATGCTGAAACCCTGATCGACATATATGCACTCAGACGTTTTTAAATGGAATGATTTCCAGTGAGACAAGTACCTACCAGGAGTCAAAGTAACGTGGATGTTATCAACTATAGGTCACCGTACGGCCTTCAACAACGAACAAAACCCATACCGCATAGCAAGTTATAAAAGGTAAACGGACAGAAAGTCACAGTACAAAACGTCACAGGACAAGAAAGTCACATATAATTTGTTTATAATTGTTTGAATACATAAGAAAAAGTTCTTGAAATAATTTTTTTTTATTGCATATATTCATTTTACAGTTTATGAAATTGTTCATCCTTGATTAATGAAGATTTATCAAATTTTAAGCACGCAAAGGATATATGTATTTGCACCATGAAGTCAAAAAATAAAAAAATAAAAAATACAGTCCTAGATCATCAAATAATCATGAAATATTTGGTCTGGTAATCAAATAATCACTATAAAAACGGCCAAGTAATCGCATACTCAAAAACCCCATGAGGAGGCTCAAAAATGTTTTTACAAATATATGTTTTCTTATTCAAAGAACAAAAAAATCTCTTAACTAAATTGTTACTATTTGTCCTGTGACTTTCTGTCCTACATTCTTAGAAAAGACCTGGACATGACAATGAGTGAAACTATTCAAACAAAAAAATCCAATTTGATATCACCAACGACATACACTGAATTATAGGTTCCTGAGAATGTGGCAGGGTTAAACATGTTTCCGAGTGTTCAACCATCCAATAACCTGTGGTCAGTGGTGTAACAGCACTACGTACAGTTTGGGAACAAAATGATAGAAATTTGCACACGCTGAAATGTCTCGTCTGTGTACTGATCATGAATAAATTTAAGTTGAAAGTCTTCGAGAAAGGTTATACAAGAAGTATAACATAAATTTAACTTGCCTAATCAACAACATCAAACAGACAAGAACCAAACTGCACTGTTTCAACTATATATATACCAGCCACCATCATTTCTTGGATTACCATACCTCCAGATATCCAAGCTTACCCGTCTGTGGAATGTTTTTCGACACGCAACTTGACCATGAAAATTTAACCTTAATTGATCACTGGTCTATAAAGGGGGGCAAGGTAAGGTGAATCCTGTCTGTCATGTAGACCTTGCAAGGATCTACTCTACCAAATATAGTTATCATATTACTCATAACAAGTGAGAAATTCACATGACAATAAACTGAACAGTTTTTCCATGCAGTCTCTGAACCATGAAATTGATGTCATGGACAATGGTCTTACAACAAACATTGCCTAAGTAACATAACACATCTGTATACAAGGTATGAATTATTTAAGTCTTCTATACTCTTAAATACAAAGCTTTATACAAATGGTTTACACCCCGCTGCCAGATTGTAATCCCTATGTCTTTAATTCTGCGAGGCGAGAGAAAATCAGTTGAAAGGGGCTTAACGCATCGGATGGTCACAAAGAACAGAAAACAAATAACACAAAATTAAGACACAATATACCACTTTAAGAGTACTAGAAGTTACTGAAAGCTAGTTTAAAGCCAATTACAACTTATCAATAAATCATGTTAACCAGACTGAAATATCAGTAAACATCCAATCAAGCACTTTTATCAAGCAGAGTTAGCATTTTTTGTCCTGTATATCTATTCTTAGACTACCATATATCATGTAATTTCAACAGTATGATTTGCTTGCTGTTTGGGTCTTTGAATGACTTAATGCAAAGTGCTTAGTTGTCCAACCATTCATACTTAACTACATTCACTTTCAATTACAGCAATGTGAATGAATTCAGCAATAAACAAGATTACAATGTCAAATTAAATTTTTCAAACTCAACTGCCCTGCCACAAACTTATATCAACCAGATGAAAGGTTGCCCCATCCAGGCACATTCCTTATAAAAGTTGTTGTCAAGATAACAATAATAATTCCAGTAAATTGTAGTTTTCATTGAAAGGGACCAAATGACCGCCTTTTAGACCAAAAGAGTTCCACAGCCATTACATCACTAAGACTGTCAAATTCAAATCAGTCAAATGGCATATGAATAAATTGAAACTTTGTTCCTATAGTTTTTATTTTTTCAATTTACATTTTAGAAATAAAAATGTTTTTATCATTTTGCAACAGTACAATATGACATAATGATTCTCATGATCTAATTGTAAGTAATGAATAATGAATGACAAAATGTATTTTAAACACTTTTACCTATAGCAGGAGTTATCTCCACTTGGTAATTTGCATATTATAAGGAGGAATGAATATGTAACATGCATTTCATTTCTACTCTACAACATTACAGAAAGTATTTAAACATATGTCTTAACTGAAATGTTAAGTAGAGAATAAGCTTATTGTTTTGATTGTCATAAATCTATAAATTAATAATCCGCCATGATAGTGTGTGTATTGACTGTATAAAATATGTAATGTAAGCATTTCACTGGTGCGTTATCTTCAAATTTAATAATAAAATCAGTTTTTGAAGTAAGAAACAATGAAAGAAATTATATTTTCTGAAATCTCCAAAAAATCTTTAGATTTGTTAAATTCTTCTGTACTAGAAACAACATAATCCAGCCGTTTCATTGGTAATTTAAGTTTTCAAAGAAATTTGAATGTCATGTACGGTTTTCATAGCTGTCTACTCTGTTTTTGAATGGAGTTATAGAAATAAGCATGAATTAATGTTATCATGGTTATTGAAAAGAAAACACTTTTAAAAATATTGTCTAAAAACAACAAAATATTGCACTGTTAGGGAAATGCTGAAGTTGTTTCACACTGCATAGGTAAAAACTTAAACAAAATAAACAAAGAAAAATACTACGTAGACCTAGTGTAAAATTGTTTAACTTGCAAAGATCAATGTAATTATATATGAATCTGGGTTTATACAAAACATCTAACTACTCCACATATGCATTTTTTAATTGGATGAACTTACTTCATCTCATTTACACATACTAAGCTGAAATATTATGGAAACATTAAAGAGGACACAAAGGAGTCTATTCAAGAAATATGAAGGCATCCGAAGGAACGTTTACTTATGTTTACACTATAATACTTAACAATCTGTTATCCTTTAAATTATTTTAAATGTTTTTATCTTACTTCATGAAATCCCCTCCAATAACCTGACATCACTATGGAATAATTTTCTAGTGAAGAATAAAGGGGAGATAACTATGGGACTAGCATAGAATTATTGCAAATAGTAATAACAATATAATTATGTTTGGCACACAATACACAGATAAATATTTATATACACCAGCCTGATATGTCACACATATACATATAGTTCACATCAGGCAAATTTTTTAATCACTATTTCAAGATTGCTTTACAATACCAGTACTTAAACGCACTTCGATGGCACATAAAAAGTTAAAGAGAAATATCACTTGTTAGTTAATCAACTTTTTTCTCTTTTATTAAGTTTTAGATGCACTAAATTTCTAATGATATTTGAAGTTCAATCGGGACAATATTAGATATATTACAGAGCTTTTACAAATATGTCAAGTATGTATAATAGGATGTGTATTTTTAACCTTGTAAACTGTAAAGTAACCTGATACTGTATAAATGGTGCAGTATAACATTTAAAGGTTTTAAATTTATAATTTACAGATAAACCTTTAAATTTCCAAAGCCACAAATTGGATCCAGAATATTTAAATTTAACAATCGATTTTTGAGTAATACTAGTTTTAAAATCAATAGGTTATAAAACAAACAGAGTAAAAATATGACCTGTAATTGTGTAAAAAATAGCACTACTAGTTTTTTAAAAATCTTAGTCAAGTTAAATTATGTTCATGGAGTAACATGCATAAAAAAGTTAAAATTTGCATTAAATTCTTAAAAAAAGAAGTAATGTGTTAAACTGTTTTCTTCTTCTCTTAATCTACTTTTGAAACAAATATAATAATGCTCAGGTTTGTACAATCTATGCTTTTAATGTGAAATCATGTTCTTCTTTTCAATATAATAATTTATAATACTGAAAACTTCATTGTTTTTAATCAAAATCAATGCATGATTGTTTAATGCATCCTCTTACCTCTGATTCATATTTTTAAGACAAAAAGTAACAGGAAATAAACAGACAAAAAGTCACTTAATGTCCTTGAAAATTCAAATGACATTGAAATTCTAGTTTCATGTTAACTTTAATCAGTTGCCTATGTTGAAGTCCACATCTTAATTAACCTTGGTTTCAGTTAGCATATACATTAAATTAACATTAACTTTGCATTTTTAAATGATGATTATAAAAAAAAAATCTTGAACTTTTGAGTTCTATCATTACAATATGTATGTATGATTATATAGCATTCAGCAAATAACTATACATATTTACACCAATAAATATATTACAGCTACTTTGTCACACAATTATATATTTCACATATAAATCATTTTTGATTTCACAAACACTTAATGTAGACAAGGAAAACTTGAACCAGAACATCAATATTGAAACCAAGTTTTTTAAGTTTAAGAACAAAATGAAAACATTTCCTTTCTAGATTCCTCATTAATCATTGTCTGTATTTTTGTTACTATAAGTTAGTCAAATTTTGTCTTGTTAATATGTTGTAATGATTAACAAATGGTTTATAAAATGTGGTATTAAAATATTTTGAGACAATTATTTTCTGTATTGACATATTTCTCTTTGGCCAGATATTGAAGTCTTTGTATTATAATCTTGAGACATATCTCTATGACTTCAGGTTTATCAGTCTTGTATTTAGTTGTTTCACAGACTGGTTCAAATTTCCAAGTTTAAAATGACCACACTTAGCACCAACAACCATTATTATATAAACTATTTCCCCCCTTTTTCACTGTATATGAGATTTTTCTCCCATAGACATTTCACTGTTACTTTCTATTCAATTTAATGAAGTTGGTACAAATCGTACCATCTAATTGCATTCTACACAGATCACTAATTAAGTTGAGCAATATAAATCTCAGCCTTGGTCAGATTGTATCATGTTGCACATGCCCAGTATTACCCATGTTTATGTTATCTATTGCTCTTTACAAATCTGATATTATTACAGTCATCTGACAGATCTGGGAATTCCTCTGATCTACGGATAAAATGTCCCTCGTATCCACGAGCAAATCCAAAGTTTAATATACTCTGCTTCTCTTCCTCCGTCCACTGATGTTTGGATTTTAAATTATTTTGCAAAATCCATTTTTCTCTTGCCCAGGCATGAGTTACTGCCCTTTCATTCGCATGTTTCAAGAGTCTCTTTCTCTCTTTATCTATAGTTGTGCCATATCTGATATTGATCACAGAATGTTTGCCTCTTAGGCGAATGTCTGTCTCTGGATTAGGATTTTGTCGGAAATCTACATGTTTATTACGATGAACAGTCACATTTATATTGTTTTCAAAAAGTACAACATCACTTTTGATACCTAGAGTATTTAAATCAATGTCTGCCTGAGCATGATCAGGTTTGATTAAATAGTGTGTATCTTTTCCTTTTATATTAAATCGTAAATTAACGATCTGCGATGAATTCACTAACACTAGTGCTAACTGTCTCGCCCACATGGGCGTATCATCACTTAAAGTCACAACAGCTTTACCATCATGGTAAGAAAGCATCACACCATTCCCAAAAATAAATGGTAACGGAGCAGGCTCTAAATCTCCCGATTCCTGTAACGGGGAAACTTTAGATTTAGGGACATTTGTCATTGTTATAAGACTATCCATGTCTCGTAAGAATGTGCATTCAAATGCAGAGGACATTGGTAGAAGTACATGTTGGTTTTGTTTCTCTTTAGGACGAATCTCTCCACTGTACGATATATCTGGTGCCAGACTTCTGACATCATAGCCCAACATCAGTAACCAGTTAGTTATAGCTGTAATATAAAATAAAGGTGAATATATCTGATGTGAATTTTGATAAATGTTCACACAAATTCATACAAAACATTCAGTTTACATAAAGTCTGTCAAATATTATAATACAATTAGGTCATCTAGTCATCATCAAAATACTTCATCTAAAATGTAACTATTGAGAGTAGAGAAATGTTGTATTGTATTAGATGATGAATCGCTTTCTCTACTGATTTTTATGTCTTTTCTTCAATAATCAGTTAAAAGATGTTTTCTTTTTATTTGTTGTCATCACCATGGTAATCTTTTTTAAGAGGTCTCAATAGAAAATTCAGTGGAAAGCAGGGTAGTTTGACGTAATTGGACTTTGACCAAGGAAGAACTGAAATTAAACATGCATTTATTATAAACAAAATAATCATAGACAGTATAAAACCAGCTAAGAATTGTTAAAATATTTCCAAATTTGATAACTAAATTGTATATATGTCATTTGAATGTAATTTTAAAGTCCTTTTTATTTTGCTATACCATAAAATGCATATATATCAATCTTGTATGCTGTCTCTCTAAAAACTGAATACATTACTTTCATGTAATTGGCAGGTTTTTCCTCTGAACATGCACATTTATAAGATCCATAAACCTGTAGTTATTAGTCAACAAAGGATTTTCTGGAATGTCTCTCAAGTTCTTCAGTACTTGGCTATACCCTGGTGAGATCCAATGTCCTGTAGCAGTGTCATACACACGACTGTTTAATATCACAAGCTCAGTCACATGGCTGTATATACCTCCTTGGAAACCAAACACAAACTGGAATCCTGGACTGGAATCAGACTCTAGTTTGCCAAGAGGGTCGTAACTCATTTTCTTTACGATACCACCATCTTTGTTAAAAATGACAAGAGGGGATCCCATGGGGTCAGTTGCTACATAATAGAAGATGTTATTCCGTTCCATTCCTATCAGTTTACCGTTAGGATGGTATAAATATTGTGATAATTCACTTGTAGTGTGGTTGTAAGAGTGAGTAATCAGCAATGGTTTTTCAATGTTCATGTAGAAAAACTGGAGAATGCCACCAAAGTTATTATCCTCCATGATCAGTCTACCTTGGGTATCATAGATGTACATCCTCCTAAATGTAGATCTCTGGGATATTCCAATAAACTGTCCATTGGAGTTAAATGTAGTTTGTTGATTATGTCGTTGAATCAAGAAACCATCTTTGTCATATTTGTATTGGTACGGTCCAGACTTCTTCAGTCGATCACCAACATCATATTCCAAAATTCTGTAAGTTTCTCTCTCTGATATTTTATTGATGTTTCCATTGTTGAAATAGCGATATCTCCATATGGACTGCCCATCCAATAGAATATCAACAACATTTCCATTAATATCATAGACATATTGGTAATCACTCGACATGCCTTCCTGCAGTCTCATGCTCCAGTGATGTATTCTATTCATAGTATCATATCCAACGCTAAATTCCAGAGCCTCTTTCTCACCAAACTTATACTTCATCGCTTGGAGACGATTATAATTATCATATTCAGATGTAATGGTCATGTGACTGTCACTGATTCTTTCTGAATCAACAAGGGGCCAATCAAATTTAAATGATTTGAGGGATTTCAATCTTCCCGTATCAGTGTCGTAAGCCATATTACAAGTGGTAGTAAAGTTTTTACCAAATCGCGTCCTTATTTCAGTCAGTCTGAAATTATTATCATATGCATATGTACTAACAGCACTCAGACTACGGTCCATTGCAAAGTCAATACCATACTGACTGAATAGCGTTCCAGCATATTCAAAATGTTCCATAGCATTGTAAGAATTCCATTTTATTTCAGCTGTTTTTAACCTTGATATATTGTCATCATATACAAAATGAATATCGGTTCCATCGAAGTAGACATGTTCCGGCTGAGCATACATATTGTACTTATAGACCACTTTCCTCTGTTCGCTGGGAAACAGTACTTGGAGAAGTTTACCGTTAGCATCGTACTCCTCGATGTATGGGTTCTCCAGTTCTGGAATATGATACAGATATCTCTGAACTCCAATGGATGTGATCTGGTTGAAGTAATGTTTGCCAAGACCTGGTGTACGTAAGAACTTGAGATTGCCTTGGTTATCATATTCTAGGTAGTACTGCAGACCACTGGGCATTAGTATGTCTGTTGGCTGTTAATAAAGAAAGTAGAGCCTGTTACCTATTATCATGGTAGCAATTGTGTGTTGATACATTTCTTGGTTGAGAATTCAATTACTTTTGCCCTTAAAGTATTAGTACCTTATGGTAGATGTCTGTAAAGGGAATATCATACTCCCAGTGGTAAACAATGAGACATTTAGATTATTTATTTTCAGTTCATAGATCCTGCACTTGTATTTAAACTAGAGCTTAAACACCTTGAAGAAAAGTTGACCTTAGAAAGTTAATGATGTTTTGTTTTTGTCACTTCTTGCTTTTTGTTTGTAAATGTTGAATGTATTGTGCTTATTAGACTTTTAGTCGAGTATAACTAACAAAAGTTATTCTAGAATCTTGTTGTGTCCATTGATATTGGTACAATTTATTTACGGTACACAATGTCATACACAACATTGGAATTTATCTTAATCTCATTCCAACCTTAGGATTTCATGAGTTTTTTTTTCTAGTAGGTGTCTTTTTCTTTAAGTATAATATATTGTATAGCTGGTACGTTTTGCTGATTGCTAATAAAATAATCCTTTGAATGGTATTTTCCCAAACTTTTAGTCTTGATAATTTGATTGCGTAAATAAAGAGAATTTCATGTATCATGACAAAAATGGTGCAAATAACATTAAAAAATAATTGTCAGATACAATGTATGTCCTTACAAAATTCATACCCATATGTATAGGTTACAAGAGCGCAATTATTTGTTTACATTTTACCGGCAAGTTTTTTACCCCAAGATGGTACTCAGAATAGAATCCTTTACGGCTTCTGATTGGATGATACAGGATTGGAATTACATTTAATCAAAAGGTTATCCAATTAGGTTTAAAAAT